GAAGGTTCACGACCTAGGGAGGAGAGTAACGCGCAGCCGTCGTACAACGGATTCTCGCCGCGACCAAAAGTACTGAAATTGTAAACAACTATCGCGATATTTTCCGCAGCGAGAAACCGTTGAAATTGCTCAATTTCACGAATTCCGCATCCCTCCTCGGGAATCGTGATACCCGCAGAAATCGTTAATTCTTTAGCCAACTCGCGTTGTAAAGAAGAACGCTGATGTCTCACGGATTCCTATCTTTCATGTAGTTCCCCCACGCGTAATTGCCCGCGATCGTAATGCACGCGTGCCGTTACAAGCGAACGGGGAAAACATAAATTGTCGGAATTGACAATTTATAAAATCGAGCGTTTGGCTACGTCTTCGTGCGTTAATCGATTGGACTGACGTCCGCGATCAGTAGGTAGCGCAACTCTGAAAACGCGTACCCTGAAATTTTCCGCGATATCGATTCCTCCAGCACTTTGCGCCAACGTACTCACGAGCCCCCATATGTCCTCGTGGGTTAGATCGCGTGCTGGACGAAACGACAATCCCGCTGGACCACGCGCTAGATCACTCGACTCAAACGATAATCCGACGTAATCGCTCGGTTCGCACGTATGTACCGCATACGTTCGAATTTCACGAAACGCGTTTTCTAGCCATTGAGCGATATCGCTACCTTCAGGTGGTGGCCGTATCGCGAAAGTCGCCTCTCTCCCTAGAATCGTGAAATTCCTAAATTGCCGCGAGTTTTCCGCCCGCAAATCTATATAATTAAAATTATTGACCTCGTGCTGACGACATCGTCGCTCCTATTGCTGATGATCCTGCTCCTGATCTTCATTTTGAGCCTGACGAGGTGTCGGTGGTGTCGACGACGACGGTGCAGGTGTCGACTGACGGGACCGCGGGGGTGACGCTAGTTGACGATCTCCTCTTTGTGAAGGCGAAGGGAGAGAGTCTGAGGGCTGGACAGCACCACCACCAATTTGTACTGAAAAGTTAAACAAAATCTTTATTTAAATTTCGTTGACTTTGCTATATTAGCCTAAAGCTTATCCCCCTCCCCACGTGTCATAATGTAACAGAAAAGTAAGGTAACTCACCTTTAGCTGCTTCATATGATCGTGAGCCGAGGATATTTTTTCGCTCGAGAAGTCTCACTAATATTCCGGCGACTGCGGTAAAACCGGTGAGTAGGAAACTTTTAATAGAGAAAATATACGTTTAAGAAAAATTTCTCGAAACAACGGGATAAAAGTAAACAATAAAATATTATTACTTTCGACGTAATTGTCGCCCTCCTCTCCTCCGACTTCC